GATCCAACTAGTAGTCCTACCACAGTATAGTGCTTTATTTAAAGCACTATACTGTGGTCCTACTAAATGGGACCACAAGTCGGAACGTGAATGGCCTCTCTAAGCTCGCCTAAACAGGCTGTTTTACAACAATTTGTTTCGAAAAAAATGCCAAAAGTTTCTCAGACGCGATGGAATTTTAAATCTTGGTTAATTTTCACTATAGCAGATTTTCGTGAACAGTTTTAGAAGTTTTTGATTTTTAAAGGCGACGATTTTGAAAGTTATGATATCTCGATCAGTGAAAAAATCGGTTTGAAAACTTTAAATGATTACCCTGTTAATATTCCTTCAAATATTATTAAGAAAGTGTTTACCTCAATCGTTTTGATATTCAATGTTGTTCAAAATCAGTCACCTAACCAAAGGTGACTGATACCACCATAAATTTCAAATAAAATGTTTGAAATTTATAACATTTGTTTAAATTAATTACCTTATAATTTGATACTTCATTATGGTTGTTCTATTTTTGGTAAGATTTGATCGTTCACTAAAAATTTAATAAAAGTGCGACAACATTGTCGCATATGTCATTTTCATTGGCTATTTATGTAGTTTGAAAATCACTTATTGCATTTTAAAAAATATATATACAGGGTGCAATATTTAATACGAATCCCTAAATTAATTTTTCCAAAGCCAGTCCTGGAATTTGTTAGTTTAGCTAATACCAGTCGAATGCTTGATAGTAGTGTACTGTATCATGCAAAAATTTTAAAAAATCAAATGAGCCGTATAAACACTACAGTAAAATGAAATAAATGGTCAATTACACAAATCACCCTGTTAATTAATAAAGAAGAGGAGTTGACATTTTTTAGTGGCCACATGATATGCTCCCTGAGGGACTCTACATATGGTAGAAGTATGTAAAGTTCCTCATGACTCACCCTGTATAAAATAATGCTTATAAAGTACGCAGAACCAGCTTTAAAAAAATAAAAAATGTTTTGATTCCTTAATATTTTATTGATTAGTTCTATAACCAGTTTTACGTATACACTAAAAATAAAATAATAAAACGAGAAAATCATACTAACTAATTTGTATTATATTAACTTTGAGTTTAAATGCAATGTCTATACCTAGGAGATGACCTATTGTCACATATTTCGTATATTAAAACACTTAAACGTGACCCTGTTATCAGGTACATTTATAACAACCAATTAAAAAACCTAACCAATTAAAAAACGATTGTGAACAAATTTTTAACAAATAAAACCATTTATAATTGTATATACGTCTTTTTTAACTTCTGCTAACATTGTTTAATGGGATTTAATTAAAAATGCTGAGTATTGCCCATTATTAACATGCAGCAAACTCACTTGTGACACATTTTCGCCTCGAGTTACCGAACTCCTCCCACCGGGCAAACAATCGGAAGATCGACCTTCATTCAGTGGCGCAAAATTTAAGCTACTACTTTTAGTGTTCTAGTTGTACTAAATGCCATTGACACTTGTCGCTATTGTTTCATCACCACGATGTATTTAACCAATGTGGCTAACATGGGTCCATCATATCTGCACGATAAAATTTCACCCTGATTTGTGTTTGCGATATGGATAGATAATCAAAAAGACTTACGAGCAAGTATTGCAACAAATACAGAATAATTAGCTTAGTGATCCATGTACTAGTTTTTTTTCTGAAAATCATTCACTCCAGAATACCTATCTTCTTCTTAACGTGTCTTCTCCTCAATGGAGGTTGGCTACTACAATTGCAAACTTTTCTCTCTCTTCAGCTGTTCTTATTAGCAGTTCAAAATTTAGCCAATAGAATATATACCAACAGTGGAGCAATCGTTGGCAAATCTCAATTTGGCTTCAAGATTGGCATCATGGTTTCGGTAAAACAGAAACGTTACTTGACATCCAGGTTCTCATACAGATATATAAATGTGTTAATGCCTGCTTTGTCGACTACGAGAAAGCATTTCTCTCGATTAAACACGAGAAGTTAATTGCTATTTTGAATGAAAATGATCTGGATGGACGGGACATTAAGATAATAGCTGGTATGTACTGGGATCAGACAGCTGACATTAGAATTAAAGTTCAGATGTCCTAAGAAGTTCTTATTATGGAAGAGTTCGACGGGGATGTGGGGTACAAAGATTTCGGCTGCTGGGTGCCAATGATACCCTCCTCTTCCATACACACTTTTAACATAAATATTATTTTAGTCAAATTATAATTTAACTATCGACCTATAAACTGTGATACATTCAAGATGTATCTGTTTTATCCACATATCTTGGACTTCCAAGCCTGTAGAAACAATACTTTAAAAACATGCAAAAATAGTGCACGAAACTTAAGCTCAAAATTGCGAAATATACCTAAAACAACAAAAACAGTGCTATTGTCAATAAATCAGGAATAAACCTAAAAATACATTTCATAACTAATATATTTTTTATAAATAAAACGATAATTATACAAAGCATGTTTCAGTAAAAAATAAAAATATGTAACATACTAGATACACAGTGAGAGTCTAAAGTACCACCCCTCTTTCTATTTTCTAAACCATCAAACACGTTTGGTTCACTGAACTGAGACACCTTAGATTGTTTATATGAAGTTTTAGTGTCTTAATTATTCAAAATGACTATTTTCAATAGAATTATATTGCAAGTAATACTTTATTCGACAGATATCAGTAAGTTCCTACCAGTGGCGGCCTGTCAGGGTCGGCAGTGCTGACCCACACGTTTATAAATATTATAGATTTTTTTTAATATTTAATTTAATCAGTATTTCAATAATTAATTATCCAAACTAAGACAAATATGGCAACCATCAAAATCCGTGTTGTGAATCTGGTTACGATAATTTAAAAGAATTATTTAGGGGTTTACAGAAACATGATATTTCGAAAGATCATACATACAGCCAGATTAAATTAGATTTAATTGGAAAACAAAATATCTATATTTCATTAGATAATGCGCAACGTGAAATGCTATTAAACATATCGAATTGTAAAAAATAATCACGCAGTTTTACGCCGTTGAATTGATATTATAATTTTTTTAACTTATCAGGAATGATCATTTAGGGGACACGATGAATCAAAGCATTCGTTAAATTAAGGTAATTATAGTGAACATGTTTAATAATAATATTTAAGAAATAAGATTTGGAATTTTCTAATTTACTTTCTGATTCGCAGGCATTAAGCGGCGCATCTAAAACAGTCCATAATGAATTAATAGAATCAATTACTACTGATATATCATGTCATTCAAAATTATCAATTCTTGTTCGATACGCGTTTCGTAGTAATATTTATGAGAGGTTTTTGGATTTTACAGACGTGAGTAAAAGCCATAAGGCACAATATATTTTTGGTGTTTTAACAGATTAAAATTTTTTTATATCAAAAATAAATTGGTAGACCAAACTTATGACGGTGTTGTCGTGATGTCCTGTGAATTGAATGCGTCTCCAGGCAAAAGTTAAAACTATTGCACAGCAAGCTTTATTTATTCGCTATCATGCGCATAGAACGAAATTAAAGAATCTCGTCTTTTTTTGCCAGTTTAAGCTGATTTGCTTCATTTTTCTCAAGCTCAAGAAAAAAAAAAACAAAAAAAAAGAATTAAAGAATCTTCTATGCTAATTGAATATTTTTATTAAACGGTATACCTATCTGACGAAACCTGGGAAACCTAACGTAAAATGTATTAAATTAGACTTCGATGGAGAGGACATGTAATTAGGCGAGATGAAGATGCAACGATAAGAAAAATTTTTGACCGAATAGGACCAGTGAGAAGACGAGCCAGAGGAAGACCAAAACTTAGGTATCAAGATAACATAGAGGATGATCTAAAATTCATCTTAGGTAAAGCATGGAGAAGAGTTGCCAGAGACAGGGGCGAATGGAAGATTGTTCTGAAGAAGGCTTTGACTCATAACGAGCTGTAATGCCACTGATGATGATGATCTGAGGAGACAAAAACCTTGCCAACCCTGTCTCTAAAGCCACGAGCCCCCACTGGTTCCTACAACAGTGTGAATTCTGTTTCGTCACTTCAAAATATCGACGGTTTTATGGTGACTCTGTTAAAAAATATAGACTACTCCTAATAATATGATCTTCAGCTTTTATGGAAAACACTCGAATATTTGAATTTATTTTTTCAATTTCCCAATTTATTTTGTTTTTATTGTATTATACGTCTATCAAAAACGTAAAGAAAAGGCATTTTTCGTAACTTCCATTTGTCATCATTTGGAAGCTTTCGCATCATGCAATGAATAGAATGTAAAAAAAACTATGCACAGCCTATAATGATTTAGTTTTCTTCATATTCTGCGGAAAATACTCGGAGAGGTCATTTAATGTTTCTAATTTTTAAATTCTGATGGAATTCAGTTGTTTTTTTTTACATCTGTCAAAAATATGAGAGCAAGGACATTTTTGTAACATATGACGTATGATACATTATTTGAAAGTGTTCTCTCATTGTCTAGGAACATATTGCATGAGATATGAATTATGAAATGATATAATATCACATGTCTTATATTATTATTTAAGAAAAATGTCGACGTTTGTGGGAAACTTGAAAAATATATTGACATGTTCGAACGTTTTCCATAAAAACTGAATACTATCAAAATATTAGACTGTTGCTGCTGAATATTTAGCCCACCTTTTGTGAACGGCTCGACAGAATAGCACAAACATCGCTAGAAACGTATTAAAGGCTTTCCTGAACTATGCCAAAAAAATGATTACTTACCAGATTATCTAATTTAAAAATATGTTATACAAAATGGCGTCCATCAGCCATTTTGAATAGGTATGTCACTAAAACATAAACATAAAGGTAAATGTCATAGTTCAGTTACCCATGTTTATTAATTTGTTTCATAATTCAGAAAATAGTTGTGGGGACGAACTTTAGACGACCACTGTATGAAGACAATAAATATTCACGAACATAAGGACGCTTTACACTTTACTTTACTCAGTCTTCGTGATGATCTTCTAACTGGAGTAGTATTATCATTATTTTTACTGACATTGTTAATATTTAGATCTTCTTCGGGGTTGTTTTCTTTGTCTTCTAAACTAAAACTCAAATTCCTCGACACCTTTTCCTCTTTTGGATCATCAACGAAAAGTACAGACTTTGTATGCCGCCTTTTGGTAGAATTTGACATGCTTGTCTTAAGAATACTTTTACTAGGAGTTATTCCATCGCCCGCTTTTATAGCTTGAGTAACTTTCATCATCGTTAATCCAGGAGAGCTGAGCCGCTTCACGGCTGAACTTTTAAGGAGTGAGACTCTGAGGCTGTCTTTTGTACCATTGTTAACAGGTGTTAATTTTTTTACAGGATCTGGTGTTTTTAGAACCACAGTTGCTTCATCATTTTTCAGTTTATTTCTAGCGGCTTTAATCATTTCTCTTATTGATGATGAAGATGAAGTTGTCGTTTTTTTAGGACGACCTCTTCCGCGTTTTGGTACAACTTTTTTTTCTGGTACGATTTCCTCCCAGTTATTATTCTTTAATCTTTCCAAATTTTCATATCTATTATCTAAATCAATAACTTGTTTATACATCATATCCCAAAATCCGTGTAAGTCTTCACATGTTATCGGTTTTTCTTTGAATTCTGAGGATTTACACTCAGAGATCAAACCTCTAAACTGTTCAAACTTTTTAGTGATCAGCAAATTAGATTGACCGACGACAACGTTGATCATATCGTCAGTTTCTTCCGATATGTTATTGTTTGCTTGATACATTTCCCATACAGCACACTTTGCTTTAATTCTGGTAATCTGATTATTTAACAATCTTTCAAAATAGTCAGCACCAGCTTGGGGACTTGTAGTGTTGGAAAAATCCTTACCTTCTGGTGAAATAAAGGTGCCACCTGCAAAAAATTAAGCATTGTTTTAAAACGTTCAGCAAAATTTATTCGATATTAAAGGAATATTTATCATATTTTTATATAAAACATCTTTATTATTAGTACAGGCCAGGATCTGTCGAAACAGACCGCAACGGACATTTTCCGTAGAAGTCCAGAGTTTTCCTGGCATCACAAAAATCCAATGTTATTGAATAACCGGAGTAAAAGGACAGGACCGGTACGAGCGCATTCCCCATGTTAAATTCCATAAGAAATCGATAAGGTCCATTCTGGTGATTTTGGCTCATTTCGTTGTGGAGGCGCGACGGCTCGTCCGATCGTGACGTGTGAGATATCGTTGGAAAGGAGAGGAGTAACGAATACGATAACACAAAAAACAAAGATGGCGGCATTGTTAAAGGGACACTAAACTTGTAACTTCTAAACGGTTCAACGTACAATAACGTGTAAGGTATCGATGAAAAGGGGAGGTGGTAATGAATATGTTAAGATAAAAATCAAACGCAAAGACTTTGTCAAAACGGCACTATATCGTATATCCGTTGTTATTAGTCAGATAACTACGTGTAACATGTTAAATGAAAGGGGAGAAAGTAATCGAATATGTTATCACAAAAAAACAAACACAAAGACATTCTCAAAACGGCAATATATCGAATCTTTGTTGGTATTGATCGGATTTTAGCATAATAGACGTTGAAGGAAAGGAGAATAGTCACTGAGGCTAACAGAGAAACACACAAACATGATAACATCGCCAAAACGACGCTATATCATATCGTTGCTGCTATTGGACCTATTTTGACGTTTGATGGTGGCGTATAGCCAAAAGGACACTAAGCTTGTAACGTCTAATGAGAGGTCAATGAGTACGTAGAAACAGAAAAAAACATGGCCGAAAGTTGCCGAAAGGACGTTAAGCTTGTAGTGCCTAAACGGCTGATCCGATCGTGACGTACGACAGCTCGTTGAAAAGGGGAGGGGAGAACAAGTACAACAACAACAACAATGCAAAAAGGACATTACAACGTACGACGTGGCAGCATAGAACAACGGGGCAGGGCAACATAGGAAAACGGGTATGGTAACATAGGAAAACGGGGCGTATCTCCATTGTTATTGATCTGATTGCTATGTACGATTCGTCAAATGACGTGACATTCGACGCAGGACGTGATAATTATGAGACATTCGTCGCAACACGTGACATTCGATGCAGGACGTGACATTTGACGTAAAATGACGTGAATTACGTAACATTTGTGCGACAGTCGACGCAGGACGTAACACGTCCGTACGGTGCTACCCTTTTACTAACCGGAAAACGGTAAGTTATAGAAAACTTATAGAAACTTTTTTAAAGATCCTAAAACAACCTTTAACATTATTACTGTTACATGGAAAACGTGATTTGCATGGAAACTAAGGTAAGTTATAACTATAATAAAAAAACTGTAATATTTTTATTGAAGATTTTGTTTTTTTATTTCTATAGAATAAAAATTAAACGAGATATGATTGTTTAAAGGTTGTATTGGCATGCATTTAGCACAATGTTCAAGCCCTTTCAAATAATTAAAATACATCACTTTGTAGTTCGTTTTAAAAGCTATAAAGTGACGTATATTAAAGCCTTGTGTTTTAAAAAAGTTGCGCTAAAAAGGCTTGAAGATAGTGCTAAACGCATCGGAATACAAGCCCATAAGTAAACAATCATATCTCGTTTAATTTTTAGTCTACAGAAATAAAAAAAAATTAAAATCTTCGGCAAAAAATGCTTTTTTTTGTATTTTAGCATTTTTTCTGTATCTTTTTATGTTAAGTTGTTTTTTTTTAACCTTAAATTCCGAAAATAGTGTCTCCATTTTAACTACATTCGATTTTTTTTAACTAAACCTTCTAAACCAGTTAAACTTCCAGAATGTAATGCTTGTATATAAATAAAGTAAATTGTAAATTAACAACGAATAGTCTCAACCAGGGTGGTTTTGTCGGGAGTGAGATTGTTACTTTCTGATAACGTAAACCTTGTTTATACAAATGAGTTTTGGACGAACGTCGGTGCCTCAGTTAAAAAGGAATGGAGGGACACAACGATCAAGTATCCACCGAGATGCTTTCATAAAAGCGCTCTCTACTGAATTGAAAGCTCCAACCCAAAGAGGTCCTCGGTTTGTTCTTCTTCATGCTGCAAGCGAAACTGGTTTTGTGGCATGGGCCGAATTAACTTTCTTGATCAAGAAGGGATCCGCTGATTACCACTACGAAATGGACGAGGATCTATGTGAAGAATGATTTGAGAAAACGTTAATTCCAAACTTGCCGAAAATACCATTCCCGCAAATTTTATTTCCCGAAAAAATTGTGAAACAAAAGGCAAATCAAGGATTGAATAATCGAAAAGAACATTTTCTTCTAAAAAGATTACCTAAAAAGTAAATTACTGGATACTGCGACCGCTTTTAGAGACGAATACGACAAGTACAAAATTAAAACAATTGCGGAAAAATATGGCGTTAAGATTTTGAGACTGCCGCCTTACCATTGCGAGCTGAACCCGATTGAGATGGCGTGGAGTCAAGTGAAAAGGTATGTGGCTTCAAAAAACATTGATTTTAAAGAAAAAACGGTAGAACGGTTGATAAAAGAAGCTCAACAATGCGTATCTAAAGAAAGTGGCATAATTAGGTAAACCAACCCCCATAGGAAAAGCACATATTTCCATAGAGTAGATTTTGATATTTGTGGTATTTTTTAACTACTGTCAAAATTTCAAGCAAATCGATGCATATAAAAAAAGTTCAAAGGTTTTCTACTACACTCAGCGTTATAGAAATCGGGCCACACTATTTTTTTTTTTTTTTTTTGTATATTGAATCAGTAACCCGTTTAGCATAAAATGTCATCATTATCATAAAAAATCAATCAAAAATAAGAAATTTAAGAAAAATAGGAAATTTATTGAAAAAATCAACAGTCTTTAAGATAACAATGAAATGTATTACATTTAAAAAAACTGGTAACCGTTTTCAGTAATGAGTATTGGCACCTCGATACTGGAGGACGCTCCTCATTCGATTTGGCAAGAGATTACTAACGTTTTAGATATCTCGTTGAGGAAATATCTCTCTGGTCCATTCCTCAATGAGTGCCATCTGAAGCTCTCCAGGTGTTGTTGAAGCAGGTATAGGAAACTCGACTTTCTAGCAGGTTTCATATATGCTCAATAGGATTTAAATCGGGGCTTTGAACAGGCCAATCTATTTTTGGAATACCAAACTCTTAAAGGTACTCCGTTACTATTCGTGCGTGTGTGGTCTCGCATTATCCGGTGTTAACAGGAATTCGTTGCCAATAAATTCAGCATAGGGCATCACATGATGTAAGATTTCCGTTATGTACCTTACTGCTGTTAATTCACCTCTATCGATCCCCACGAGATTCATATGCGCACCAAAATAAATCCCTACCCAAAACATTACTGAACCGCCACCAAAAGCAACCCGTGGTGCCCGAGTGCAACCAGCGAAATGTTCTCCAGCCCGTCTGTAAACCTTACTGCGTCCGTCTATTTACCATAAATGAACATTCTGCACTCATCTGTAAATAATACTATTATGTTAAAATTGAGTCTTCGTTTTTGTGAGCTGTAAAAAGGCTAATTGCTGGTCCTTGAGCTTCCTGTAAATGGCCTTGTAGTATTCTTTGGGTCCGATTCCGTAACGCAACAAGAATGACGACGCGATCTTCACTAGCGGTTGGTCTCTTTTTTGGACCCGTACCAGGTCGTCGTTGGTAAGATCCTGTCACAATAAATACAGTCGAACGACTAACATTCAATTATCTTGCAACTTGTCTTTGACTTATCCACTTCGCAGTAATACTACAATTTCAAACGATTTTTGAAAAATTCTCCATCATTATTAACTGAAATGCGTTAAAACCCTTTACAATATTATACATTTCTCAAAACAATCACTTCGTCGAAAATTTATCAAGTTATAAACAAACTTTTTTCAAAATTGATTTATTTTATAGGGTCTACGACTATCCTCAATCCAGTTACAGGGTCTGCTTTCGCAACAAGCCATTTAACGTAAATATCCTAAGACACATTAAAAATAAAATAATATTCAATATACAAAAAAAATCAATGCTTAATTTTGTAGCGATAAATAATAATTTCGAAAATATTTTAAATATTAGGGGTGGCCCGTTTTCTATGACGCGGAGTGTATTTTTATCATCATATTCTGGACTAAATAACCAAAAATTAAACCTAACCTAAGCTAACCCAAGAACATTAGGACCTAGAATATACGACACTCAAATTAGTCAAAGAATACAAAGAATGATGCCTGGAAATAAATATGAACAAAACTGAATATGTGTGTAGGAGGAAGAAGAAAATATTTGATACTTGATTAGGAACATGTACAATATAACCAAACCATAAAAATTATGAATGGGGTTCTGTGGGACAAAAATATCTCCAAAGAAAATAAAAGAAGGATGTACCAGACCATTATACAACATATTGTCACATATGGTTATGAAATTTGGCCACTATAAACCAAAACAGAAAAAAATACTTCAAGCCACGGAGGAGGTCAGCTGGAAGATCACATCAAGAATTACAATGAGGATATTTGCAGATTTATGAACGTAGAAAACACAATGATTGGCTGCATAAAATACAAACAACTGAAGTTGTAGGATCACATTCAGAAAATGGAAGAAGATCAATTACCAAAGCAGATACTAGACTAGACAGCACGGGAAACTGGGAATCAGAAGATGACATACAACAATATAAATATTATTTATATAAAAAAAAATATCATTTCCATATTTATTTTTTTATTTCACAAGAACCGACTTATTCACACTGTTAGCAAATGCTCACGCACAACTAATCATTAGCTAGCACAGGTTGTAAAGCATATATTTTATTACGCAATTAATGTGAACAAAACTTTATAAGATTACATACCTGTGGATTTTCTGATTTCAAATTCCCTCCTAGCAGCCTCTTTTCCTCTGGATATCGTTACAAAGGGGCTAATATATGTACTTTCTCTTTTTTTATTAATTGGCGTTTTTTCATTTGATCCTATTTCCTGCTGGATGTTGCTTTTATTATTATCTCTTAGAGATTTATTTTCAGGAGTTTGTTTTTCTGAATTTATATCTAACTTTTTGTTATTAGTACTTGATTTCTTTTCACTTTTACGTTTTCCATCCCTCAGGTTAGTGGTTTTCAAGTCAGCATCAAGAGTATCATATATATCATTAAATAGCTCACTCTCAATATTACTTGTTGGTTTTGTTGATTTTCTAACACTAGAAACTCTGGACATGCGACTCTTTTTAATCGGAGTTTTTAATGTGATTTCTTCATCATCATATATAACTACTTTTTCTAGTTCATTTTCAGAATCATCCCCTTCAGCACTGTCGTCAATAAGTATTACACTACTGTCTTTTTTTGATTTATTGCTTTGTCTAGATGTAGATATTTTACTTTTTACTATTGATGATGGCGTACCTTTTACAGATCTACTCATTTTTGGTGTTTTAGCTTTTCCTACTGGTGTTTTAAAAACCTCTTTCTTTGTAGTTTTGTTGGGTGTTTTATTAGGTGTTTTATTGGGTGTTTTATTGGCAAATTTGTTGTTTGTAGACATACTCCCTTTGGGTGTTACATGTTTTCCCCCTGATATTTTTAAGCCACTGACCTTTTCAACAGGAGATATTTCAACAGGTGTTGTTATTCCAATTGATTTATTTACTTGATTCCTTGGTTTAATAGGAGTCTTTTTATATTTTCTCCCTGACTGTTCCTGAAGTAAAATAAATTTAATTTTAGTACCAAAAAAATCCATAATAGTAAAGAAATGCAGTGCTACAGTGAAACTATTCGTTAGGTAAAGTAATTTGTTTCAATGGGTTTAGTTATATAGAGGTAAGGTGCATCTATGATTCATTTTAATAAGGTAAAACTTTACATAGGTATTAATCTGTAAACACTGTTTATATAACTAACGATTTTTTCTAATAAATAAAAAAACTTGTTAATGAAAACACTGTATTTTTATTACTAAATCGTTTATATAGTTTTGTCACAAAATAATTAAAATGAAATCTATTTACAGAATTAATGTTTTTTTAAAAATCGAAGAATACAAAAAATGGGGATTAGAAGTCAACATAGATAAAACAATGTACATGAACATCGGTGGTAAAGAACAAAATCTAGTTTTAAACGACGGACAACACATTAAGTACAACAATAAATATTCCTATTTAGGAGTAGAAATCACAGACGACGGCAAATCAGATCAGGCTATAAAAAAAACGAAACACTCAGGGTAGAAGGGCCATATCTCAACTAAATAGTATTATCTGGGATCAACATATATCCAAAAAAAATAAACATCGAATATACAACACTATTATAAAGAGCATAGTAATGTATGGAAGTGACGTGTGGCAGTTAAAGGCAACTACTGAAAGAACACTACAAGCCACGGAGATGGACTACTGGAGACGGGCCGCAGGAAAATCAAAACTCGAAAGAATTAATAACGAACGTATACGAGAAGTTATGGGAGTCACACATACGATTGTCGAAGATATAAGAGTACAACAACTAAAGTGGTATGGACATGTGCAGAGAATGCCAGAACATCGTCTGCCCAAACAGATTATAGATTGCTCACCACATGGAAAGAGAAAAAGAGGCCGACCCAGAAAGAGCTGGAGAGAAGGAATAGACAGAGAGATCCGAGAGAGAGGTTTAGACGAAGATCTTTGGGAAGATAGAGATGCATGGAGATTGGGCATCGGAAGACGTCGGAGGACGTTTTAAACCGATTATATATATATATATATATATATATATATATATATATATATATATATATATATATATATATATATATATATATATGTTTTTTTATTTCTCTGCATAGGTTAAGTTTTTCTTTTTTTTTATAGGCCATTTTTTTATTTTTACAGGGAGAACCTCGATTATCCGTCTCTCTGTTAACCGTCACCTCTGTTAACCGTCAGGGTCCATACACAAGTTATATTGACTACATAAGTAAAAATTTAGTCACCAATTCATTTTATTTGAGCATTGCGATAAGCCAAACGAAATTCGTTGAAATGTGCACGTGCAGTTATGCCACCACCGCATTTTTTATGTAAGTACATAATTTTTGTACATACACAAAACAAAGCAAAGAACAAAACAGAATGGCGGAAAATCCTAGAACAAGCCAGGATCCAGAAAGGGTTGTCGAGCTACTGATGATGATGATGACATAATTTTTGTTCTTATTCAGGGCTCTGTATTAAATTTTAATTTAAATAGGTAATGATAAATGATACCGTGCTTTAAGAGTTCTATTTTTAGAATCGCAAGCCGAAAATAAAAACGCACAGCACAATAATTATTACAGTCAATATCTGTGTATCACCATAATTCAATTTGATTCAAATTCGAACATTGATTGTGTCACTTATTCGTTTGATCAATTAAGTTTCGAAAAATGGAGCCTTGAAAAGTATGCTTCGCAAATGGAATCGTTGGATGGCCGGGTGAAACATAGTAAGACAATGAAAAAAGCCACACATGAATCACTCGACACAGCTCTGTAGTTGTGGTTCGTTCAAAAAAGAAGCAATGGTGTTCCTTTGTTTGGACCAATTGTTGCCGAAAAAGCGTTGTTTATTAACATAAAATTGAATGGCGATCCTTCATTCAAAGGAAGCAGCGGTTGGTTGGAAAAGTTTAAAAATCGCCACGGTATTCGGGAACTGAACATCAAAGGTGAAAAATTGAGCGCCGCAAGTATTGACGTCGTTGACGAATATAAAAGAAAGTTTCAAGCTGTGATCAATGAATATGGTTTGACACGCAATCAAGTGTTCAATGCGGATAAAACTAGTTTAAACTACAAAGCATTGCCAACGAGAACACTCGCTGCACTGTCTGAAAAATATGCACTCGCTGCATTGTCTGAAAAATATGCACCCGGATTTAAAATGCAAAAGCTGGTTGAAAAAGGTATGTACTGCAAGCCAAAATTTGTTGATTTATTTTTCTAAAGTCTTGTTTTTTAGGTTTTTATACCGGAAGTTCGAAAATACTTGCAAGCAAAAAATTTGTTACCAAAAGCGATTCTAATTTTGCACAATGCACCTGCCCATCCTGAGGCTGGTATGCTGCGAAGTGACGATGAAAATATCTTGTGCTCATTTCTGCCTGCGAATACAACATCATTGATACAGGCAATGGATCAATCGCTTATTGAAACATTCAAAAAAAAAACGGAAAAAAATTATTCAAAACCTAGTTATGGAAGAGGAATATTTTTTGCCAGAATACTGGAAAGCATACAATTTAAAACACGCAGTTGACCATGGTGTGGATGTTTGGGCTGATGTTTCAGAAGTAACGCTGAAAATAGCGTGGAATAAATTATGGCGTGAATCAACTTAAGATGAAAATGCTCACCTTAAATGAAGTTATGGCTGAATCATCTGATTTGTTTTCGCTGCCTAAAGATGACATAAACGAATGGTTAATTTGTGATGAGGACGCAAACGGCTATCGATAACTGACAGATGATGAAATCGTTGAAATGGCAACAGAGGCGGACGAAACTGATTCAGAAGCTGACACAGACTTTGATGGTAGTGATGTTGATGCTATTACAACTCACAAAGATTTGCGTAAAGAAGCTGGAGGAGCTGCATCGCACTTACAACAATTCATCAAGTGATATTCTCGGCAAGAAGAAGCATTTATTTTTTATTTATTTAGCGTATGGCAATTTGATACACAACATTATCACATATATGTTACAATCTAACATCTAATGTATTAATATATTCAATCGACGCTGGTGTTGCAGAGGCGAAGTCTAGAGGATCTCCATAATACTTCCTCCGAGGGCATTCGGCAATCATATGCTGGATGGTCTGTTTCTCGGCGCCGCAGTCGCACTCAGCAGAGGTTCTCATCCTCCATTTATAAAGGGAATCTGCGCAGACTCCATGACCCGTTCTTATCCTGTTAAGAGTTGGCCATGATTTTCGGGGGAGGTCAAAACCTGGTGGAGTTTCTGTGATGCATGGTGTGTTTCTCCTTATTAGGTTCGGTCTGTCGCTCTGCATGTTCTTCCACTGGGAGTTCATTTGAAAATTGTTGGAACTCAAGTTTATAGCATCTCTAGTCGGAGGTTTTGTGGAGCGCAATCGATGTGAATTAGCGTCGGTGACATATGTGTGTATAGGTAATTGCGGGTTAAGCAGCTTTTGGAATTCTCTAAGCAGAGCATGCTGACGACGAAGATTAGGTGGAGGTATATGGCTCAGTAGCGGAAGCCACTCCACAGGTGTAGACTTGATCGTTCCAGATATGAGACGCATGGCGACATTGAGCTGGGTATCTATAATTTTTGTGTGAACGCTATTCAGCCAAACAGGAGAGCAGTATTCAGCTGCGGAGTATACGAGTCCAAGAGCTGAACACCGAAGTGTACTTGCTGATGAGCCCCATGTAGTCACGCAAAGCTTCTGTATGATGTTGTTACGGGTTCTCAGCTTTGCTGCGGTGTTCTCAAGATGTTTCTTAAAGTAGAGTGTTCTGTCTAGGGTGACGCCGAGGTACTTGGGATTATAGTTGTGCGTGAGCAGTTGGTTATCAATGTATACTTTAAGTTTTGTGTGAGCCATTTTGTTGTTCAGGTGAAAGTAGCTAACCTCGGTTTTTTTGGGGTTAGGTTTAAGTCTCCATTGTTTAAAGTACTTAACCAGGCGTTCCAGATCTTCCGTTAGGATTGCCTCGGAGTTTTGTATTAAGGAGCTTTGAGTTGCAAGTGCCCAGTCGTCTGCATATCCAAATTTTTTAGATCTGGTAGGGGGCATATCATCTATATACATACTAAATAGCAGCGGTGCAAGTACGGAGCCCTGGGGGAGGCCATTATTAAGCGTTCTCTGTTTGCAAACTGTAGTTCCCAAGGTTACACGGATGTTTCTACTGCTCAGCATGGTATTTATGAGTCGGGCGGTTGCTTTGCAGGGGATTATTTTAAGGAGCTTAAAGATGAGGCCATCTTTCCAAACCGTGTCATAGGCAGCCGATAAATCGATGATCGATGAATGCCACAGAAATCTTCAGTTTTCTTTAGTAACCTGCCTCTATGTAGGTAGTTATAGAGAGCACTTGGTCAGTGGTGCTTCGTTGAGGCCTGAATCCTGCTTGTTCAATTGGTATTTTTTTAAGTAGCTTTGGGCCGATTCTGTTCAGGACCAGTCTTTCGAGGAGCTTGTAAGCTGCACTGAGTAAAGCGATGGGGCGGTAACTCGCTGGGTTGTCTGTTGGTTTTCCAGGTTTCAGGATGGCTATGATTTTTGTTTGTTTAAAGAGGTTTGGTAGGTTACCTGTTTTGAGTATATCTGTATAGAATTTAGACAACCAGGTTTTTGCAGATTTCCCACAATGGATCAGAAATTCGGGAGGTATACCGTCTGTACCAGGATGTTTGTTAGGTTTAATGTCTTTGATGGCGTTTGAGACTTCTTCTGGAGTGAACGGTGCGGAGTACTCTGTATCTGATGAACAGGCAGCTTTTAGATGTTTAAGCTCCCTTTTTATAGTAGTGGTAAACTTTTTATCACATGCTTCTCTGGAAGTGGCAACTATATGTGATGCAATTTTATTAGGGTTGAAGTCGTGGATTTGTCGTGTTGCCAGTTTGTCACTTCCGAGTTTTCTTAGGAGCGACCACGCTTTACGGCTAGACTTTTTGAAATCTAACGATTCGACTTCATTTGTCCATTTCTTCCTTCTTGCTACATCAAGGCTCAGGAGAAGTTCGTCCGCAATGTCATTTTCACCGGTTTCAAGATATTCTTCGTAGAGGTTTTGGCTTTCCTCACTCCATCCTGGTATGTATTGCTTACGATGACCCCTGGGAATGTGTTTCTTTGCTCCTCTAGCAATTATTGCCCCTCTAAACCTTTCATAATTTTTGTATGTTGGTGGAATCCATCGTAAGATTTTATCGAGTTCATTGGTAAAGGCGGGCCAATAAAGAAGAAGCAAATAAGGTAGATTTGATGATTTTACGTTGATTAAGAAATTCAGCTGTTGCAAAATGTGAAGTAACAATAAAACAAACAAAGATTTCGGAATAATTTAAATCAAATTGATTTGATTGTACCAACATAAATCGCTCTTATATTGTCAAATAAAACACAAATAAAATTTGAGAGTTATTCGCGATTGAAACTGAATGTAAAGGGCAGGTCGATTGCAATGTAATTGCAGATATAAATGGTATAAACAAACATAACAGTCAAATGTTTACCATTGCTTTTGCATGTTTAGTTTGGTTTAAGACAAGATATTTTTATCATTTAAATATGGAAATTGGCCTTAATGATAGCTTTGAGTATTGTGGTGAAGCAAAGAGACCATTGGTTGAAGGGGAAGCAGTTTTCAATGCCAACCATATATTTATTTGTGGCATTAAAACAAAAACCAGAACCACAGTTGAAATATCTTTTGTCGATCTTGAATTACATTGAGGAACAGAACAATATCGTTTTGATTTAAAATACTTTAACATAGTCATAATGCTGAAATTTACTAAAAAAATTTAATAATTCTATTCAAATCCACAGCTGTCTGGTTTGTTTATAGCACTTTATTTATGTAGTTTAAATTTATTCCGCCACAGGTCAGATAGTTTGTTTTCAATCGCGAATACTATGAATTTTTTTTAATGTTCTGTTAACTGTCTTTTCGATTATCCGTCATACTCTTGGTCCGGTGTCCTGATGGATAATCGAGGTTCCAATGTATTGGACTCTACTTACATGATATTTAGGAAAATTGGTTTAGATTCTGCATAAGAGTCTAGATAAAATTTGTAAAAGGTACCGTAGGTCAAACTTAATATTTTTTTAATTATCCATCTTTTTTCAAAAAATTTGATGGAGACAAACTTAATAAACAAACTTAAGATACACATACAGAGTAGATAACATTCTTTCAGGAATTTACTCCTCACAGTGTCTGAATAACTTTTAGCTAATAAAGCACATGTTCTAGTAATAACGCTGAAATTTACACACTTTTCATTGTTTAAATATTAAATGAGCCATGTCTATCACTTTGCAAAAGTGCTAATAATTACAAATAATGACAATTATGACATATATTCATACACGGCTTGCTAGAATAAAACAATAAATATCTCATCTTTATTTAAAATTATTGACTTACTATGGTTTGAAATTTAAAGAAATGGAGTATCATTTTTGAACACCCTGTATTTAGTAATTTGATGTTGATGTAAATTCCGGAAAGAACGTTACCTATTCTTTGTGTGCAAAGAAGTTTTCAAGGTATTTATTGAGGATTTATTTCAAGGAAGTTTTTGACATGAATTACTCAAAAAATATGAAGTTTTGAACTATGGTACTTTACACAAATTTTATCTAGAATATTACATAGAATCTAAAAACGGAATAATATACGGGGTGTTCTATTTAAAATAAAAAAGTTGCTATTCACTTTCGGCATGTCTGTCAAAATATTTTCTTTAAGTTTGTCATAACTTATAGTCCCCATAAACCAATCTTCATAAATATCGTGTAAGCTAAAATATCTTCATAAATATATATATATATATATATATATATATATATATATATATATATATATATATATATATATATATATATATATATATATATATATATATATATATATATATATATATATAATTATTATAGTGATCAAATTATCATGATCAAAAAACTTTGTATTTTGCTGTTTAATAAAGAATAATACTGCATATAAGTGTCTAATGATGTGAATATAATATAAAAATAGATCTTAAACACATTCATTTACAAAATTTTAAATTATTTTTTTCTTGGCCTTAAATAACAATTTTTTTAATATTTTGTGTGACCTCCTTTATCTTCGATGACAGCTTTGATCATCCTTGGCATGCTTTGAATGTTTCTCGGACAGTATTCTTTTATTTTATCGTTTCTGTGCCAGGTAGCAATGAGTCTCTCAATTAACTGCTGCTTATTTGTAACAGCTTCCTGGACAATCCCCCTCTTCATAAGCTCCCATAGATTTGTGATCGGATTGAGGTCATGGCCACTTCAATACTTTAATTTTCTTTTTTTCCAGGTACGATGTTACTGTTTTGCCTTATGGCACGGTGCTAAATCGTGCATAAAGGTAAAATCCTCCGATTTGCCAAACCAGTCTTTGATTTGTGCTTTCTTTCCAGAACTTCATTCCATTCCATTCACAATGTACAGCCCTGTCTCCCTGTGCCCTTACTGCTGATCACAGACCATACCATGATCTTGAGAGGATGCTTTACCTGCTACACTATGCAATCCTTGTGATATTTTTCATAGGCCAACTTATACATGAGTATCTCCACTTTAGACTCATCAGAGAAACAAACCTGTGAATAAAAAAAACTGTAAGATATTTTTTTAGATATTTGTAAGATATTTTTTTAGGATAAAAACAGTGGTTATAGGGATTTAAACTTTAATAGTGGCGTAATTTACCTTATTCCAATCCTCAATTGTCCAATTTTGGTGTTCTTTGACCCATTCCAGTCTCTTTTTCACCATTGCGATGTTCAACTTTTTTTTTTTTGACAGGGTGACATGATTTAAAATCTTACTCAGCAAACCTTCTGCTGACTGTCATGTCAGAAACTGGCATCCCAGCTTCATGAATAAGTCCCGTGAGGATTCTTCTTGGCTTCTTTCTATTTTTTACAAAGATATCCCTCATTTTTCTTTTGTCTCTGGGTGTAGTGACACACTTTCGATCACATTTTTGGGTAAGCTGGTGAGTCAAGGGTTTCTTGGTATCAATTTTTTTCTTGATATTGCTCACTGTTGCTTGCACTACTTGGCATTGTTGAGGTATCTGACATTGGGAACGCTTTGTATTTAATAAAAGTGTCTTTATCTCCACCATTTTAGACACAGAGACGTCTTTAGCCTTACCCATTATGGTTTTCTTCTCAAAAATCAAATGTTTTGAAAATGTCTTTAAAATTAAAACTGATAGTTTTTTTTTCACTCACATTCACCACTAATATATTAATAAAATATACTACAAAGATAAAACGATACTAATCTTTCAAAAACAATACAAAAACATACAAATTCAGTTGTAAACTCCAAGCGCAAATTCACCACAATGTGTATGTTGTCACGTAATTTGACACAAAAGACAGTTCTAGAGCTGTAAACATTAAAAAAGTAAGGTTATTAGCGACAAAATATGTTGGTATACCTTAATCGTATAGCAGCATATGATTTTATTATAAAATTGTTAAACAAATTTGAAAAACTTACAACTTTTGTGACTGATCATAATAATTTGATCACCCACTGTAGGTATTATAAGCTCGTCGTGAAACACCCTGTATATGTTTATTTTGATGTTTCAATTCACTTTAACACTTCAGAAATTGTTTTCAAAACACAAATTAAACTTGTTTTGATTATCAGAGTGGAGTAACATGTAATGATAGTATTTATTAAAAATTAAAAATGATGCTTAGTTACATTATTATAAGATAGTTCAACTAGCTCTATAATTTTATATTTTTGCTTATACATTGTATCAAGAATAAAAATAATTTAATCATAAATAAAGTAACTTAATTATGTTTCCTTTTTACAGAAATGCTTTCGACAAGAAAAGCTCTTTTTTTATTTATACCCGAGTGATTTTTAGAAGAAAGGGAACAATGAATGCAAAATCTAGAGTTTTTGCAAGCTAAGATTAACATAATGTGAATGAAGTTGGGACATAAATGGTGAATTTTCTAAACCAAACCCAAAACTTTTGAAAGCCTGGCCTGAAATGAGTGACCCAGCTTATGGCAAAAGTATTCTTAATGTTTTAAAGTATGGGTAAAAAGCCTTGATCCTGTTGATCATGGCAGACCCAGAATTGTCAGAATAATATTAACTTTTCTTGTGTTGCTTTTATATCAACTACTATGAGCATAAATGACAATTATAACTAAAACATATTTTATATTTGATGTTTCAATTTCCAAAGGGAAAACTGTTTTATTATAAAAAAAAATTAATGAATTAGACAACATAGTAACAAACAAAAGATACTTTTAATGAAAGACCCTGGAATTCAAATGGTAGAACTAAAATGCTAATTAATTTGCCATATCATTTGATAAAATGAATGACTGATATATAAACAAGCTTGAATTACTATGAAAACTGATGATATTAAGAAACTTGCTTGGACAACATAGTTGCAAACGGCACTGAATTGATGAGGTTGATGAATAAAGCAAAGCAATAAGAATGCACTCTAAATATAATGAAGTAGTGTATCAAATATATCTTAAGTGTACTCACTGAAACTGTATATATGTATTTACAATATTAAATATATTTATTTTTTTAATTATATATTCAAAAAAATATATTTTAATAATCTGTTGAAAAATAAGAGTTAATTTTAACTATACAGGAAAAAATGCTACTTACTTTTTGATCAAAATTATCATCTGACATTTCAAATGTCTCATGTAGATCCCATCCAACATTCTTACTGACTTGTGATGGTTTTGACAACTGTCCTTTGTTTCCTATCACTTGAGGACTAAAAATATTTGTTTTAACATTCTGATTTATTGGCTTCTTTATGTTTTCCTTTTGCTTAGTTCCTGGTCTCTTCAGAGTATTTCTAAACATACAAAAGAATTTAAATTACAAGCCTGCAAAGGTTACAGCCAAAAATATTGTTGTTGTATGAAGATTTACTCCATAAATGGAAGTAGCTTACCTTGATTCAATTGATTTATTTATAGAGATATTTCCATTAGCTCTAGTTTCAGTCCTTTGATAATTTTTGGCAACATTCATTCTAGACTCTGATTTTATCTGTGACTTCGTAACATTTGTGGGCTTCTGACTTTGCAAAAATGAATTACTTGGCTTTCTATTCCTTTCAACTGGCTTGGCAAATTGCACTGCTCGCATGTTGTTTGGAGCTTTAAATGTATGATTCGCTGGTGCAAATGAGAGTACAGTAGGTGTGCTAAATGTTTTTATTGGTTTACCCTTAATCTCCTTATTTACCTTGTCTAAATTGGGTAATCCTATGTTTTGATTTACATGGAATACTTTAAAAATTGGCTTAGCCCGTTTTTTCTCCTCTTCCTTCTGTTTATTTCTTTTCTCTTTCCATTGTTTTAACATTTCATATCTCTTATTTGGTTCTTCAACTATAGGTTTAGGTTTGGCAGGTTCAGGATTTTTTTTCTTTTCTGGTTCAGGGGTAATATATGGTGACATATTAATATCTATATTTCTCTTATTAAACATGAGAGTGTCCCTAGTTTGTCTTCTAGCGTTCATAAGAGATTCCTTGCGTGAAAGCAAACTTTTTTTCTTATAGTTCTTGTCAAAAATATCCTTGTGTAAGTTTTGAAGTCCTTTTCTAAAAATGTCTGAGAGATCCATAATTCTCTTCAACACAAAATATCAGGACACTAGTTTCTTTTAAAAACACGCTACTGTCAGTAATGTAATGTTTTAATATAAGCAATAGGGCAACGTTCAAATAAAAACCGTTAAATTAATAATTTGAAAGTGACGCTTATATTCAATTTACACAATTGACAGCTTTTATTTTGACAGTAGACACTAGCACGAAGATAGCAATATCACAATATCTAGGAAAAACAATTTTTCTAGATCTAAAGATTTGAAATCAACTATTTTATTGATTTTTGTTTATTATTGACTTTATTTACCAGATCTTGTAATCCTGATCAATATTTTTATTGAAATATAAATGCAACCACCACAATCTGCAGTTAGGGCTTATTGTCTTTGTCGTCGGGTGTACAAAATAAGGTTTTTTTTAGGAGTTTGGAGATTGCTTTAAAAAGAATTTGTAAATATTGTGTCATAATAAAATCTAACTAATTTAACATTTTTTTATCAAGATCATGTGAGTGTGACTGCTTTGTAAAATATGTTGTACTATAGTATATTTGGAGTTGATTTAAATAGAATTTTCTAGATTATGTTACATTAGGAATATTGCTATAATTAATATTATAGAAAATGCGCCAATCTGCAATGTGTCATTGGCTAAAAACTTCGATTTAAGTATGATTTAAGTACATATTATATGTCACATTGTCTGCGTAAGAGTAGCATTAAAATTTAAACATATTAAGTTATCGTAGGATAATAAATTAGGTAGGTAAGTCAAAAAAAAAGTAGAATTACCACTTCCATTATAACTTCGTAACAATGAAAACATTTTCAGGTGGTTTTATATTCCAAGAAATATATGGAATCATTAATTTCATAAACTTTTAAAACTATACCAATTAATTCTCTTTCTTAATTACAGTTTTTAATTAGTTTCCTTAGCTTAGAAACTATTTCAAGCTCTCTACAACAAAAAACTTCTGCTAAAATATCGTATAATAAAATATTGACAAATTTTCCTCTTCTCAAAAAACTCATTGTAATAATTTGAATCCATGGATCCATCAATTGTTTATATCTGTTATTTATATTTTGTCGACTTTACTGTATGAAGATTTGATGTATCAAAATGTTATATATCAGTTACTTATTATGTGAAATTAGTGTGCCATATATATTGTAGATAATAATTTTTGTTAATTAATATTTTGTTGTGACTCTTTTAGTTTTAAATTCTACGTCTATGGCAAATGGACATGGATCACAAATATTCACAAAACAAAATTGTGAACTTATGTGGCTGCAGAAACTTGATATTAGCCATAAATATAATTATACAAATATTTTAAGATTATTTATATTAAATTTTTAAAGAAATTCACAATAACAAAATTTAAAATGGGACTTCTTCAATATTGGTGCAATGAACATAACCTCGTTGATATGTTTGACATTAAATGTAAGCTTAATATACGTCAGTGTTGCCATATACTCAAATTATTCCCACTCTCACATATAAAATTATTGGAAAGATTTATGAAAAATACATATATAATTAAACAAAAATGTGAAAAATATATATATTTTTACCTATACATAGGTATATAATTCATTAAAATTATACCTATAAATATTATAAAATAAAATTATATCTTGCATTTCTACATTTAAAAATACTTATATAATAAAAACCATTAAAATTATGCTTAAAAATTAATAGTTTAGAAACTTTATAAATTACAGAATAAAGTAAAGTTAAATGAAAAAAAAATTAGGTTAAACAAAAGTATTTAGCTATATTTAAAATAAAAAATACTATTTTATGAATGCGTTTTAATATGAATTCAAAAATTGTGGCTGTGGCGTGTACATTTTTACATTTTACGGAAGTAAAACACTTCACATTTACCTAAGTATATACCTAAATACAAATGTGAAGCATTTTACTTCTGTATAAGTTTTTTAAAGCATATAATATAATTTCGTCAAAGTATCTTTCTATTTTAAACACTCCAATACTTTATACAAAAAAAGTGGCAACACTGTGTCACACAAACATATAGCTGGATGCCAGGTTATGTTCATTGCACCAATATTGAAGAAGTCCTTAAAATGTTTTTATTAAATAATCTGAACTGTAATTACATTATATTTATTTGATTTTTTTTATAATTAAGGTTAGCACTCATGACATTTTGTTTATCGAAACGTCAAATTTAAAAGAGAAGAAGAAGCATACAATTACAAATACCTTACGAAATTATTTATTTTTCAATTGTTCAAGATATTATTGTTAATTAATAGATTTATTAAATACTGTACACCATTTGGAACTTCTTTAAAATTATATGGTTACGTTTTTTAGTAAAACCATTTAACCGGTAAATATTAATATTATTTAATGTATATTTGTGATTGAAATCCTCAAAAGACATCTATCTGTATATCTGGAAATAGCACCCAGAGATTAGTAACTAACAACTGTAAATATTATTATAACACTAAATGGTCATCTAAATTATTTTTAGTTGGGTTGTTAAGCTTAGGCAATTACATATATGCAAATAAATTGTTTATCAATCATCACATAACCTGTAGTTAAGTATTTCTGAATCATTTCCAGTAAAATATTTCCAGTTCGCAGTTTTATTCCAAGTTAATTTGCTAATTATATTTTATCTATTACATTAAGGTACTATTAAACAAAATATGAAATCACTCTACTCTGTATTTGATACATCTATTGTATATTGTTCTTTTCATGTATACAGTTCAGTTTTACTTCATGTCTGCTATATTTTCTATGTATGTTAGTTCTAATATATCATTATAGTTACTTTTGGGATTAAACTAGTCCCAAAATCAATTGTTACATGATTGTAGCGTTTTGATATATACCTACATTTAATTTTTTATATTCAACTTTTTTGACCAGTAAGTTAACAAAACATATTATTAAAATCCTTTATTTTTAAATGCATACCCACGTTAGTTTTAAATGTAAGCTTCTTGACTTACTGAATGGAAGTCAATCAGATTTCTATTGGAATCTAATCTGTCAAAAAGTTTACTTTTTAAATAAATTTTTATTGAAGTTCATAGTTCCAAATATGTTGCTAAATTCACTTATACTTTTTTTTTAATAATTTCTATCTACAATATTCAAACATAATATTGAATAGATAAAAGGAATTACAATTTTATATTTGAAACAATTCAGTGGTTAGGTGCCATTGTTAAAAATTATGAATAGCATATTTTTGAACATATTTTGGTAAAATAATTATTTTATTTTCTTTTTATTTTATTGTAATTAATGTCTCTATTTCAGGTGCAATATAAAATATGGTCTACTTAAGTTGTAAAAATGAAATACTGCAAAAATGGAAATATAGATTTGAATACTGAAGATTTTTGTTAGTACTAATGCATTTATGTTATAGTTTAACACTGCAATAAGTAAGCTGTGCATGTTATTTAATACTACATTTTCATATTTATCAAAACTGTTTATTAAGTAATTATTTATGAAAACGGTATAAAATACACTGGGGTTTATTCGTTAAAGTATGTACCTATATATAAAATTCCTGTGGGTTTTTAGGGGTTCATTATCTGTGCTTATTTCTCTTTTATTTAAAGGGTTTTCACATTTTATGAAAGAGCAGCAACAGTTATTCTTCCAATATGTAATTCATGTGTCATTTATGTCAATACTATCATGTCCAATTTATAGATTAATTGTTGTATTTGTGTATATTTTTCATGTTTCAACATTTTATGAGGGTTTGCAAATTGGTTTTAGATGTGAATTATGCAGTTATATCTAGTATGTGTGTGTTTAATGCACCAATCTTCTCCTTACGGTGCCCTGTCTGCTGTGAATATTGGCTATTAAATTGGCAATTCTGATCCTGCTTACAGCACTTCTGAATAGTTCAACCTATCGCAATCTTGTTTCAAAAGGGACACAACTCAAAAATTACAACATTTGAGTTATCACTATAAACATCATCCATAAACAAACCCACACAAATCATCAACAGCATTTCAACTTGCATTCAAAAACTTCTGTGATATGGCGACTGGATTCGGTTTTGATGATTTCCCACTCGGCATTTACCCTGCAGCATAAGTGTCACAATGCTAGTTCCGTGCCTGTCTTAGTCATTTTTGACGCCACTCTCACTACTAAAATCACACTATTTTTAGTTGTGTCGTTTTTGATGATTGATTTTGTATTTTCTATTGACAATATTTTGAGTTACCACAGTTTTGTTGAAAATATTGTGAAGAGAGTAAACTGCATTAAATGAAATTGGTTCACTTTTCTAAATTAAAGTAAGTAAAACATGTTTTTAATTTGAGTTATGTCACTTTTATTGATAACGAACACAAAAATAAGCAAATAAAATATTTTATGTTAGATGTTTTTTTGGTAACAAAGACGAAATTAAGTGTAGTTTTTTCTGTGTTTTATCTTTTATCTTTATAGAAACTATTTTGACGTTTATGACCACAAATAAAGCAATTATTAGTTAAGAATCATGGCAGTAATTAGTTTGTTTGTACCGAATCAGAACAAAATAAATGTGACAAAATGTAGGTTTTATTCTGTCTGAAAACCTTTTAATAAATAAATCAAATGTAATAAATCAACTTTCAGGTACCTTCGTACAATTTTGGATCCCATCAAAGGTGAACCACTGCTATCGTTAAATTGGCAAAAGATATTAGTATTTAAAAGTCCTTAACAAGAATAGATGACATAGACAAAGAAAATGTTGTTTCTATACATCCTTCGACCGCCAGTCATGCCCACTGCAGCAATATAATGGATAATCATGGAGAAAAAGAAAATCTGTATCTAAAAGTTACCAAATCCTCTGTCATTGGGACCCAGTAGCAGTCCTCTTACAGAAAAATGTATTAATCCTGCATCTAACGGAAATATTAATTTAAACTTTGAATCAGACACTACCAACCCTAGTTTCAACAAATGATGACATAAGTTTGAATTTTATTGGACAACATAATGATATTGTCAACTCTCAAGGTGTTGAACCAGAATGTAAAGAAAGGATCCCACTAAATTACATTTACGAGGACAGCCAGAAAGAAAATTTCTAAGGACTTCTTCTGTACAGAGTGAAGAAAGTGATGCAGATGATTATAAAATGATAGAAAAAAACTAAACTATTTAGAAATTGTGGAAAAGCTTATGTTTCTTCATCTAAAACCAAAAAAAAAATTTCTTGCTAGAAATATATGCCCACCTTGTGGAGACAAGTGTAGGCTAAAGTGCAGCTTAAAATTAAATAAAGCAGACTGAGAAAAATATTTTTAAGATATTGGAAACTTGGGGTTTTACAGCGGCAAAGAGTATTTATTGTTGCTCATACTTAAACAATAAAACCCAAATACTGCTATTCAAGTACACAGAATTTTAGACATATGAACTCTGCTTTCTTCTTTCTCATCAACGGCAGTCGCGTAAGGGTATGTAAGACATTTTTTAAGTCCACATTGGACATAAACGATAGACCCATTTGAACAGTCTTAATGAAAAAAGACAAAAATGACTTTCTTTACGAAGATCAAAGAGGTAAACACGGAAATCAGCCTTGTGTTGATCCTGAAATTAAAAAGAGTGCTAAAAACTTTATTGAAGCTATCCGAGAGTAGAATCTCATTATTTGCGAGCCCAAACTACTCGGCATTATATTGAGGTTGGTAGAAGTTTAGCAGATATTTTCAGAGATTTTAAGGAAAATCGTGAGTCTCGACAACTGCCTTTTACCAATATTATTATGTTTAATCGCATATTTAACAGATTATATTTCATTTTTTCACCAAAAAAAGATCAATGCGATTTGTGTGAGGCATTCAAGAACTCCGATGAGCAGGGCAAATGACATTTGCTAGATGAATATAATTTTCATATAAAGAAAAAAGAGCTTTCCTGCAAGAAAAAGGAGAATGACAAAAATAAGTCAAACAGCTCTCATGTTACACAGTATATGATTTGCAGGCAGTAATGCCAGTGCCTTAAGGTCAAGTGTCATTGTTTTATACAAAAGTAAACTCAACTGTTATAACTTCACCATTAGCGACCTGGCAATTTCTCAAGTAACACCAAAATAAATGTATATGTATACACCAACAATAAAATCATGAGAGTAGAAAAGTACTGTCCGAAAACTTTTTTTTACAAAACTTCATATGAAGAAGACGCTTTTAAGGCAGTAAATATTGGCAAAATCAAGAAAACTAAGCCCAAAGAAACCGTCAAACCTGAAATGCGTTTGGTAAGAGCATATGCAAACAGATTTTTGCTAGCTACTAACAAGAAGAAAGACCTTAAAGAACTTGTTGATAAAAATATAATACCAAAATTATATTATAAATCTTTCTAGAAACAAGTTCTTGATTTAAATGAATCTTGTAGGTATATAATTAACTACATTTAAAAGCTGTTTTAATTTTTTTCTTATTTTTATGTCTCTTAATGTGAATGTATGCTTTTGTTTTTTAGATTTAATGCTCTTGTAAATTTACTTCAGTCAAAATAAACTTTTTTTTATGAAATTAAGTGTCTTATTCAAATCAAAATTATCATCGTAAAAACGTCAACTCAAAACTTAGTCTAAATTCAAATTTGTAAAACTGTCACTTTTGCAGTATAAAACATTAAAACTGAACTAACTCAAAATACTTGATTAATTAGTTAATACACTTTTCATGAAAAACGGCATAACTCAAAAAAATGTATTTTTTATGGTAATAAAAAGCAGATACCAAACAAATGTATACTAAATGTTGTTTATAAGACCAAAATATAGCTGATTTTAATTTTAAATCATCTAAATATCCCATATCCAATGAAAAATGAGTTTTTGCATATCACCAAAAACTACATTTTTTTAGTTGTGTTACTTAGAAGCAAGTGTGTGCTATGTGAGAATCAATGAATTCCACATATTTTGGAGCCACAAGTATCTTCTCTTATCTACCCCCACCTGTTGTCTATTTTTACCGGGATTCGGGATAATCCATTGAAATAGGCATTAGTTACTCTTAAATTTTCACTAACAACTGTAAACCACATAAAAAAATTATGAAAATGCCTATTTTCATAGTATAAGATTCATCGATAGACTAGCTATCCCCTTTCGAACATGCTTTCAATGTATTGAATAGGTTGTAAATATATAAGTTTATAATAAGGGTATCATAAATAGTGCATTTATTATGTTGTTTTGAATGACTAGAATAATGTTGTACATATTTCATTTAGATTAGTTCTTTTATGTACTAATATAATACTTTCTTACTTTTTTAGGTATCTATTAGAACAAGAGGCTTTAAATAACATTGGATTAGATAATAGGAAATGTACTGATATTTTTTAAGATGAACATAGAAAATGATATTCATAATCACTATCAACAACACTGGTTTAGTGCAGGACTTGAGGTAATACACCCTGATATTTAAAATGTGTTATATGAATGATTTATTCAAATGAGGTAAACATTTTTTGCAAGAAATATTTTTGTAATTGTAATATAGTTCATTCAAATTACATATTCCCAACCGTAAACAATGTAATGTGCTAGCCAAACAAGGTCATACTGAGGTGTATCATATGTTTTTTTAAAAATATTTACTTCTTTGTCCTTTATGTTGCTTAACAATAGCTAACAGTTGCACTTTTAACATTGAGTTTTCAAAACCCATATTTTTTATGTCAGAGACACAAAAACGAAGCAAAACTTTTTAAAACATCAATAAATTAAAATATTGATTTCTCTTGTTGCCTTTATCCAAATGATTACCACAAGCTGTATTTACTTTTGATGAATAAATACTTTGAATGTTTTTGAATACTAAAAGTTTACTACACACTATAAAACTTATAAAAAATATCACTACCAGTAAAGTAACTCTAATTTTATGTAATTTTAAAAACTTTTAGATTACTTTACAATTATATATTTTTTCTATATACTTTAATTAGGATTACTTCAAGTATGAATCAAATCTTACTTTTTTAGAAATTTAAATTGGAAGACAGATCTAGAGAAGAAAAAATAGAAATAACAAGACACGAATTTCGAAGGTATATCCACCAAATAGTTAGAAGTGACGTGGGCAAACCTAATTTATTTGTAAATTTATCTGAGAAGCTCATAGACGAAGTCTCTCCTATCATAAAAAACGGGTATCGATCTGGAAGCAGTCGATTAGTTGCTCCTAGAATGTGCGAAATCAAAAAATGTTCAAAGCCAGCGTTGCCTTGTACCAAACATTGCATTTTGCATATTATGTTCAATCCCGAACAAATTCTATTCGAGTATTGTACTGCCAAATTTTCAGATAACACTCAATGTTCTACACCTGTCCTTGATATATCCCATGAACTTCCCTTATGTGCGGAACATGCAAGGAAAAGGGTAAGTATTAATGTTGTTCGGTAGTTTAATAAATTTGCAGTCTGAATATATAAGTTAATATTAAGCTCCAGAATTTACAAGTTAAGTTAGTGAAAGCGTTCGTTGACCTACAGAATATAATTATTTGAGGCGGTGAAAGGAAAAGTGGTTTAAGTCATCAGAACATCATTTTGAGATACAAAAGGTTTATTAAAAATATTGTAATTAAAGCTACGTAACCTTTATAGACATGCTTGTGGGGTGGCATGATTTACACCACTTTTCTTTTAAGAGTTTAAAAGAAAAGTGGTGTAAAAAAATAAAACATGTTTATTGTTTTTACATCAGAAAATCAAAAATAAATTCACTAGTTTATTAGTCATTATTTTCTTCTACATCAGGAAGAGGTCCAGTTTCGTCATTGACTTCATTAGATCATACAAGATTTCTAAAATAAGAATAGTGGACTGAAGAAATGTATGGTAGTACATCACACATATCCCGTTTTTTGGCTGACATAATTGATCGAGGTGCTGTGTACAGGCAATTCAGTTGAAGATTTTTCAACAATGTTGGTCTTCTCTTCTGCTTGCTTCAAATGATATTAATTTGTGAAAAGTAAAAATCTTCATTTAGCGTTTCTTTATAAAACTGTGAATTTTGAAAAACTCTTTTTTACCTCTAATCCACTGCATTTTTCACCATGATACTGATTGGTTATCCGTATTGTTTTTTTTTGTATTTGATTTAGTGAGTTGTTCAGATCTTTAAAGTCTTCTCTAAGCGTTTTTGTGAAAATGAAAGTTTTTTTATTTCTACACTGAACTATTACTGAAAACCAAGCTTCAGACACATAAATATGTCTACCTTTAAAGTGAGTTTCAATTGAACCAAAGTCTGAGTCGTTTGGTAAGTAAGAGTGTCTGCTTACCATAAATTTGTGATCAACTATTTCGATACTGTTATTTTCACTTTGAACTAACAAGGCCAACACAAAATTCCAGTTCCTATTTTGGCCGGTGCAGCTGTCACTGTACAATACAATATGTTTTAAATTTGCTGCACATAATTCTATGTGATTTGTGATACATGCACTGATATCCTGAGATCCTCTCGAAGCTGATTTCATCCCATCCATACATGTAGCCTAATCCATATGATAGCTCATGACATCCCAAGTTGTAAATGTACATATTACGTTTATAGTCTGCGATAGATTTGGTTAGTTTTGGGAAATCTGGGGCTTTATCTAGGTCAAAAATGAACGCATAGTAAGAATCGTCAGTCTGGGACTTTTCTGTATGATTTTTCATAGAAGTACGTGCAAGCTCGGCCTTTCTAAGATGAAATTCGTGCTCTACTTCAATCCGTCTTATCTCATTATCATCTGTTATTGCAGCTTTTTTAATTTGTAATCATCACACTTAGGGCACATATCTTTTTGTGGTACATGAAATTGAAGGTTCTACTCATTATTGAATGTACGGCGATAAATATCACAGGAAACGGGGACACTGCCTTGTTCTTGACAGTACTCACTGTACAAGCGATACAAAAGGGTAACATTAAGGTCAGAAGATAGATACCTACGATTGGGATTCTTATTCCTTGTATAGCGCGATTGGTTAGATGGAATATTTCAATATGTTTCCGGACGCAATTCATATGTTCTTCAGATATTTTATTGGTTGTTATACCATAGAGATTGTGTTTACGATCAAACGCATAAAATTGCAATATCTGGGACACGTTATGAGAAATCAGCACCGTTACTCCCTGCTACAGTCTATATTGCAAGGTAAAGTCAAAGGTAAGCGAGGACCCGGTAGAAGGAGAATGTGATGGCTGCGGAATTTAAGAACATGGTTTAAGAAAACCTCAACGGAGCTGTTTCGAGCCGCAGCGAGCAAGGTTATGATTGCCAATATGATTTCCAACATCCGAAACGGATAGGAACCAGAAGAAGAAGATACCATGGCCTTGATTATCTGAACAGGTGATTCCCGTTGTTTTATCTTATTAATGACCCGTGTCATTCGTCCATAGGATATCTGAAAGGTTCCAAGAAAGTATTTTTTACATACTTTCGTCACAGAATAATAAACAAACAGAATGCCCACTCTCCACGGAAAATTAAGTACGCGCATCTCCTTCGCGCAGACGTTCCGCCATGTTTTACGAGGATTTTAAAGGGAACCAGTGTTGTTTATGTGGTGTGCATGGAAAAAAAACCAGGTTTATTTGACTTACGGCAATCATAGACATACTATACAATTATATTAACAGTTTTAAATATAATAACATAAATATAATATAATTAAACATAAATGTAAACAATTGCATAACCTCACAAATCATATGTTTGTGTCCTCCTAAAACATGGCGCGCGTGCTGAAAAACTTCAAAGGCGGCATCTGAGAGTGGCCCTTCTGATTGTTTATTATTCTGTGCTTTCGTGGTGTCACCTTGTTTATGAATGAAATATTGGTTAGACACTGTCTTACCAGGTTGTAACTGATCCCTAGGACGTTTTACTTCAGGTTTCTTTTGCTTGATCAAACCACAAATAAAAGCATTCTGTATTGTAAATGATTTCAATTTCCAGAATGATTCAAATGTGTTTTTTCTATCTTCACATGATATATTTTCAAAACATTTTTTATTGCAAAAACAGTTGTTTGAAAAAGTTTTACCTGGAACTACTTTTTCTTTTGTTGTATTATAGTCACAACCTGAGTTGCGAAGCCACTTTCTTTTTTATTTTCATGCCTCTGTCGTATTTGTGCTCTCTTGGGTTGTTGAACTTTTACCTCTTCTCTATTACTTTTCCTTTCATGCTCTTGGGGAGAGACTTCCTCGTTTGATTCAGTCTGAATCAAACCAACTGTATTAAAATAACACTAAAAAATGTTGTTCTATTTATAGGAGTTTATTTATTGTTAGTGTAGAAAATTTAACATTTTGAGGTTCGTTTTGATTTTATACTAACAAATATAATACACAAGTTAGGCTCATCACTCACATTACTTAAACTGTCTTCATTCATTGTACTGAAAAATCACAACCGCAAAATACTAAATAACTGCCTTAGGAATGAAGGAATAGTGGTGTAAGTCGTAAGTTTGACTTGCACCACTATTCGCCCTACTACTGTTTGACTGTCAAGTTTGTGCTGATATCTGTGAGCAAATAAAAGAGGTATTACTTAGACCACTGTTGCTTCTGATAGATTTGAATATGGAGATTTTGAATATACACTTATCTCTATTGTATAAAAAAAGTGACTTACACTTTTCCTTTCACCGCCTCATTTATGTAATGATTTATGAAGTAACATTAACATTTTTGCCATAAATACTTCTGAATGTCGTAAATAATTTTTACAGTAAACTTTATGTAATTTTAGGACAACTATAAATTATTTCAAGAAGGAAAACCCAAGAAACTTAAGAGGAAAGTGAAACTTTCAGCAATGATTAGACCACAAAAAAGAAATAAAAAACGAAAAAGATCAAGTACAAAATCGGAAGAAATGAACATATCTTTATCCAATAGTTTATTAGATACGTCTATTAAAACATCTAATTCAGGTAAATATAAATATTATTTTAATTACATACAGTGTGTACAAAAAGTAACATAACGTTTGGTAGTAACATAACATAGCTAATATTTTGATTCCTGATAGTTTTACAAAAAAGTTTTTTAATAATTTTTTTTTGAATAAATCATCTATGTAGGTTAATTGCTCCAAAATATTGTAAAGGTATATTTTTAAATGGTACACTTTGTATATTGTGTCAATTTGGAATGCACCATCCTGCTGAAACCAAATGTCATGAAAATTGTTACCAAACACATTCTTTATTACAGGAATTACTTGATTTTGCAACAAATCTAAATAGTTTTGTCCCTATAATACCTTTTTTATAACTTTATTTCTTATCTCATTTAATAACAGATCTAACGACTTTGTCACAAAAGTTAACCAGACTGTATACTTCATTAGCTGATTAGTATATTTTGTTTTAGATATTGATGATATAACGGAAGCGGATTCATCAAATCTAGAAGTTGAGGATATTCAAATAGTCGATCAAGTTCTCGGTTTGAATGGAAGTACTTTACAAACACAACCTCACCTTTTAGAAGAAAATGACATAAATAACGTGCTCAATACAATAGAAGTGGACGAATTTGATGATTTCTTCACAGGTAATTATATTATTGGAACACATGAAGTATTAAAGCAAGGTATTTACCAAAAGTTACGTTATATGCGGTTATACCACTTTTCCTCTGAGCGGCTCATATAAGTCTTGCAAAACCAAAAATAGCCCAATAATGTGATAAAAACTATGTAGAGAATGATTTTGGTATAATTTTAAACAAATAGGGCCAACTATTTTGCAAAAATACAATTTTATTTACTCTTCAAATCTGTGGCTATTTGCCAAAAGTTGATATGTCAAAAATCATGGTTTTCAGCTTTGCGAACCATGATATGTGTTTAAACTTATATTTTTATTTGCCAAAACTTGATATGTTTAAGGACAATATTATTAAAGATATAAGTTAAAGACTAAACATGATATATTAAATTAGCTCATTTTAATATTTGCCAAAAGTTGATAAGTCGACATATCGAGTTTTGTCACCATCAGATTTAAAATGTGGACGGATGTTTTATAGACATATCAAGTTTTGGTTACCAGCTGACCACAACATAACCTAATTTTATTGTTGTGCATTTTACTAAATTAAGGTCGTACTTTGGTTGTCTTAAGAAAACTATTAGTAAAAGTATGTCGCGTGGAAAGCTGTTAGTTGATATGGTTATTAGCCAACATGAAGATTCGGCGGTTTTAGTAAATTTCGAAGAAACAGTATTACAGACTGAAAGTGAGGACTTTAAAAAATCAGTGGGAAGTGATATAAGAGGATTGAAAAGGTGTTTAGTTGATGCCGAAATTAAAGAAATAAGTTCAACTTCTGCATCCACTGGCCATTCTGAAGAATTAGTGTCATATTTGAATAGTGATAATTCAGATGTAGATGAAGATTATATTCCTTCGGACACTTCATCTGACACAAGTGACAATGAGAGGCCAGGTAAATATCAAGCACTGCCATCTAAAAAGTGTGAAACAACAGCCACTTCCAGTAATAATACGGATGATATAGTAAGTAATGATACTTTTACAAATAAAAGTGACGATGGCAAAGACCAAATAAATAGCTCTAATGTTCAACCTAAAAAACCTAAATATAACAGAGTAGAAATGAAAGAAAAGAAGATGTTAGAAGAAGAACATATTACAAGAAAAGGTATACAAAAACCTGCAAAAGTATTTCAAGCGCTTACTAGTTGCTGTCGCAATAAATGTCACGAGAAACTCTCCATAGATGAACAAAAAGAAATTTTTTATGATTTTCTTAAAAAAGAGCAAGTAATTTCTGAAAGAGTGAAGATTGAGTCAAAGAAGACAGAAAGAAAATATAAAGGAAAACGAGGAAATAATAAAAACAGACAAATTGTGGTTTCCTATTATATTACATATAACGACAAAACGTCAAAAGTTTGCAAATACATGTTCCAGAATCTACATGGTATCACAAGAGGAATAATTGATATTTTGATAAAAAAAACAAATATCACCCACGGGTTTTATAGAACCTAATGGATCTGGAAAACGCCAACCAATAACGCTCGACCAGACGAAAAAGCTGAAGCTGTAAAACACATAGAGTCTTTTCCAAAATATGAGAGCCACCATTCTCGAAGACACACAAGTTGACTCTATTTAGCTCCCAATTTAACTATTAAACTTATGTATGATTTTATGTATCAAACAGAACAATGCCTGTATCATATTCATTTTATGCATAAAGAACTTGGATATAAATTTAAAAATCCTAGTATCGATACATGTAAGACTTGTGATTATCTAGAAAACAAGAAAAAATCCTCTAATAGTGAAGAAATACGTGCAGCCGTAGATGAAGAGAAAAATAAACACCTTCAGTTAGCAGAGATTGCCTATGGTGAAAAAAAAAAGCAGATATAGAGTTCTCCAGAAACAGTAGCAGTAAAATGGTTGTTTTAGTATTTGACTTACAACAGAACCTACCAACACCCAATTTAAGCACAAATGTAGTCTACTATAAAAGAGTGCTCTGGACATATAACCTCACTATCAGAAATTGCACTGAAAATACCACTTCATGTTTTATGTGCCATGAGGGGTTGTCAGACCCTGGATCAGATCAAGTTGCTTTTTGTCTTTTAAAATACCTTGACAGCTTAGTTGATACAGTTGAAAAAGTTGTTCTATATTCGGATTCTTGTCCCGGACAAAACAAAAATAACATTGTTGCAGGAGCACTGTCTTTATTTGTTTATAGATCAACAACCATAAATGAAATACAACACAAATTCCTAGAAGTGGGTCATACTAGAATGGAATGTGATGCCGACCATGCAAGAATTGAGCGTGCCAAAAAATCGTCACAAATTGAAATAAGGATACCTCATGACTGGTACCAGTTTGTTAGAACTGTCCCCGGTAAGAAGAAGTTCCAGGTTATCGAAATGCAGTGGAAAGGTTTTCTAGCGTATTCAAAACTTTTCCATAATATCTATGTAAAGCGTGATAAAGGTGTGGATAATGAAAATGTGAAATGGCATGATATAAAAGTTCTACGTTTTGGTAAAGAGTTGGGTGTTATAGACATTAAATATGCACATAAAGGTCTTGACGTTTCTACCCTTAATATTAAACGCAGAGGGCAGCAGATGGATCCTACATTAGAATCTGTTTATAGTGGACCTAAACCCATAAAACATCAAAAAAAGAAGACTTGCTTTTCCTGCTGCAATACCTTGATCCAGTGTACCATCCATTTTACCATGGACTCAAGACTAGTGAGAATGTAAATGATGGAATTTAATGTTTTATTTTTAAATGATAAACATTGTTTTTTATATAGATTGATAACAGTGAACAATAAAAATAATTTTGCTAATTGTTATTACTCATTTCAAAGAGATTTATACTGAAGTTTAAATTTAGATATTCAATAAATTGGTGAATTTTACATTATTTTATAAATTGATTAAAAGTAACCATCTTTATTAAATATCAAGTTTTAATTTCAGTATAAATTTCTTCACTTTCTACTTTGTAATTATGATATTCACGTATTTTATATACTTCACTTTGACATGATATGTCTATATATGCTATCTAAGATATTTGCCAAAACATGATATGTTAGTAAAATCATTTTTCACAATAGAATTTCCAAAATTAATGTACACTGTTAGTTTAAGCAGCATTTTATTTATTTATATACAAAATTTCATAAAAATCTAATAAAATTTGAGCGAGTAAAAAATAAAAACAAATTGTCATGAGGTTATATATTTTTAATTTCGCTCTACTAAAAACTTGTTCTATTTGACATATCAAGTTTTGGCAAATAGCCACAGAAATCATTTTTTACCTCTTCTGTAAAAATCACATTTTTGACATATTTGCTTTTGTCCACGGACTAATAATTTAAATTACAAAATTTTTAAAGCGAAATATATTATAGTAGTAAAGTCAAATATGTTATTCTATAGTTTGATTAGAATTTCCTTACTTCTGTTAATTATTTATTTTTTTGTTTTAGTTAATCGAAATGGGGAGTATGAACCTTCTAGGGAAGAAACGGAGGAATTGGAAAAGGCGCTGGCCGCCGTTGATAACGACGTAAAATCCTTGGAGAAGCTGAGCCAATCTCAGGGCCTTCTAGACTCTCTTTTGGACGAAAACGCATTAAGTGAAACGTTAGTACAAATTCCAGAAATGTTCCATAATGGATATACAACTTGTGGTGGTAATGTGGTTGCACAGACTTCGTCGTTTCTTCTTCCCGTGGACAATCAATCACATTCCTAACAATTCCAAAAAATAGTACAATGTTTTAATTTTAACCGTCATATAATGTCATTGTTTATTTTATTACGTTGCATGCAGTGTTAGCGTATGATAGACTAAGTTGTAAGAACTACAATATTTATTAACATTACATTAATATAATTTTAGAAATTCGTGTTTTATTTTTGTAAATTATTTGGGAAATTTCAAAGTCAACTGTAATAAGGATTTAGAGGTGAGTAAGAGTAAGTATAAAATACAAATAATTGAGCATTGTTGTCTTTCTTGAAAGTTGAAGTCATGAATATATAAACGTATAAAATATAAAATTTAACAATTATTGAATACTAGGTATTTAAATGGGACATACAGACGTTGAAAGTTATGTTTTGTAGAATCCCATGCAGCTTCGTGTATTTGTTTTGTTAATGTATCTATTGCTATTTCTATTTCTTGTGGTTGGTTTAGTGGGATTTTAGGTCAATTTTTCTTGTAGGATTTCTTTGAAAATATTCCAGTCTGTTGTTTTATTCGTTAGTCTTGGAGGTGGACAGTTTTCTGATGGATTTGTAATTATTGCTGCAATAATCTGACGACAGGTTTTCATTAGATTCTATGTGCAGTTATTCTTTTGGTATTCCTTTATAGTTAAAAGTCAAGTAGATCGGTATTGTGATCGGTTGATCAGTAAGTTTAAGGTTTGTAGATGAGAGATATTTTAGTTGCATTTCTTTCACCCCATCGTATAGGACTCTACTTCTTCTCGGTTGGGGGACGGGTGGAATAATCTTGAGCCATAGCTTTGGTGTTTTGAATTGTAATCGTCACCCACTAAGAACATGGGCCCTAATGATCTAAAAACTGTTTCAAATCCATTCTTGTTAGGTTAATAATTTGGAAGACAACAATTGGTGAAGACATTGGTGCTACAGCCCTATAAAAGAGCCTCGACCTTCCCAAGTATATTACGCTAGTCAGTTCTATCAATTACCAACTGTTGCCAGTTTGCTGCGCCTATTTTTCTACCATCCTCATCTACACCATCCTTTTATCTGTTTTGGCCTACCCCTACTTCTACTTCGCACAGGTTGTGACATAAGGATTCTTCTAGAAGGGTTGATCTGCTGTGATCTTGCCAGATGTCCTGCCCATCTTAGTCTTCGTATTTTTATAAGAGATACTACGTCTTTACCACCAAATATATATTTATATTTGTGATATATCTCGTAGCTGTACCTCCTTCTCCAAACACCATTTTCACAGATGCCACCGAATATTCTTCTCATGATCCTTCGTTTAAATATAAGCAGGAGGTTTTCATCTGCCTTGGAAATGGTCCATGTGTCCGATCCATATGTCAACACTGGTTGTATAAGGGTTTTGTATATGATTATTTTTGTTTTTTGGGTTAAGCTTCTGCTTCTCATATGTCTACTCAATCCAAAATATCATTTGTTTGCTAGGATTATTCTTTGCTTGATTTCTTCCGTCATGACGTTGTCCTTGGTGATAAGGGAGTCTAAGTATGTGAATTTGTCCACCACTTCAAAGGTAGAGTTATTAACAGTGAATTGGTGGCTGATGTTTCTGGCTCTATTGTTGGGTGTTGATGCTATTATCTTAGTTTTCTCCTCATTTACTTGCAGGCCCATATTTTTTTAGGCATTTGACAAGGTGGTATACATTTCTTCTATTTTACGTGTTGTGCGGGCAACTAGGTCAATATCATCTGCATATGCCAAAATTTGGGATGATTTATTAAAAATGTTTCCTCTATTGTCTATTTGGGCATCCCTGACCGCCTTTTTCTATAGCTATGTTGAAAAGGAGACACGCCAGCGCATCTCCCTGTCGCATCCCAACATGCGTTTCAAATGCCTGTGATTGTTCGCCCTGTATTTCGACTTTGCAAACAACTTTACGCATTGTAGCCTTAACCAATCTTATCAGTTTATCGGGGATGTGGAATTCATCCATGGCTTCATACAATTTATTTCTTAGGACATTATCATAGGCCGATGTAAAATCTACGAAAAGATGGAATGTGTCGATATTGAATTCATTGGTTTTTTCCAGTATTTGCCTTAGCGCAAAGATCTGGTCTGTTGTTGATCGGCCAGTCCTAAAACCACTTTGATATTCGCCAAGAAGCTCCTATGAATATGCACTCAGGCGATTATATAAAATACTCGAAATTATTTTGTATGCTGTATTAAGGAGGGTTATTCCCCTATAGTTTCTACATTCCAATTGATCACCCTTTTTGTGTAGCTGGCAAATGATCCCAATACACCACTCTTCCGGGATTTGTTCCTCATTCCAGGCTCTCAGTATGATTATATATATAAATATATATATATATATATATATATATATTATATATATATATATATATATATATATATATATATATATATATATATATGGTTAGTCAGACTAGCACCTCCACATTTAGTAACTTCCGCGGGTATACCATCACTTCCTGGAGATTTATTGTTTTTTAGGTGTTTTATTGCATCCCGTACTTCTTGAATTGATGGATAGTAAGTAGTTCTTTATAGTGTTCCACCCACCTTTTCAATACTTCTTCTTTTGTATTAAGTATATGCCCCTCCTTATCCTTACATAGTCCGATCCTTGGTTTAAATTCTTTTCTTGCATTATTTAGATTTTTATAGAATTTTCTTGTTTGATTTTCCTTTTTTAATGTCTCAAGTTCTTCCAATATTCTATTTTCATAAGTTCGCTTTTTTCTCCGATGGATGTAATTCTTTTCTGAGATCTTTATATTTTTGTTCTTTTTCTCGAGTTCTTCTTTGATGCATCAGTTTATATGCATTGTTCTTTCTTTTTGTAATGTCCTCGCACTCAGCATTGAACCACTCATTGCGTGGTGGTAGTCTTTGTGGCCATAGAATGTTATTTGCTGCGTCTTTAACATAATTTTTACACATTTCCCATTGTTCACTAATTGTTAGATTATCTTTAGTTATGTATTTAGTTTCGATATAGTTTTGAAACCTTTTTACCGTTTGCGGATTATTGAGAAGTTCAATATTAAGGCGCCTTGTTTTGGTACTTCTCTCCTTCTTCACATTTGAGATTCTAGCCCGAATTCTTGTGTCAACTAGAAAATGATTTGAATCAATATTGGCGCCTCGATAGGTGCAGACATCCATAAGGTTGGAGAAGTGTCTAGCATCTATGATCACATGATCAATTTGGTTGTTCGTTAATTCATCAGGCGAGGTCCAAGTCCCCATATGTATTTTTTTGTGTAGAAAACATATGCTTCCTACGATCATGTTCTCTGAGGCTACGAAGGTGACTGCTCGATGTCCATTCGAATTAGTATTATTATGGAGACTATGTTTACCAATGCGCGGTAGATATATTTCTTCCCTTCCGATTTTTGCGTTCAGATCACCGATTACTATTTTAATGTAATTTCTGGGACAATTGTCATATGTTCTTTCTAACTCATCATAGAAATTGTCTTTTTCTTCGTTTTCCTTTCGTCTCTGTTGGGGCATGTACATTAATAAGGCTAATATTAAAAAACTTGCCCCTGATTCTAAAGCAGCTCATTCGCGGATTTATCGGCTTAAAATCTATAACCAAGGGCTTGACTTTATTACTGAGTATAAAGGCTGTCCCTAATTCATGTCTGGTTCTATGGCAACTATTGTATATATTGTAGTTTGCTTTTTGGATTATGCCATGGGCTGTCCATCCTACTTCTTGTATTGCAGTAATATGAGCATTATATTGTGCTAATATGTCACACAGTTTGCGGATGTTTCCAGGTTCGTTAAGTGTGCGAACGTTCCAGGTAAATACATTAAGATCATTATTTCCATTACTCAGGTCCTTATTTCGTTGCATAGGTCGTCGTCGAGATTTCCGTCTGGAATTTTTGTCTTTCGATTTCGTAACTACCGAGTTAACTACTACTACTACCGGGTTGGGTAGTTAACCCAACGCCAAACTCTCTTTTCCGAAGGCCATTTCACCCGCTCTCGTCAGTTCCCTACCCATCTTTCCACCCGGGTTGGATACTGGCTCTCCAGCTGGGTTGCTCAGTTAACAGGGCACACCAGCGTGAAGGTGAGAGTCGGATTTGAGTAGAAGAGGCTAGTTGGAGTAAACTGGAATGTTTTAGATTATTCCTAATTATTATTGCTGCTCCGTCTCTGGGGTTTTCCTTTTGCATCAGGATGTGCTGTGTTGTAGACCTTGTCTCAAGTGCGTCTCAGAAATACTACGTCGCTTGACGTTTGATGTTTTTTATGTAATACAAACATACATCATTTATGTTTTTTAAATAACAAACATATAAGATCAGAATTTGGTTTTTATTGAAAGTAAACTTAATGCACGACCAAATACTTACCATGTCGGGATAGTATATTGAGGTTTTTATCCCTCATAATTTACTATGGTATCACTAACAGGAGAGTTTTATTGTCAGCATGGCATGTGTTTGTCTTTTTAAAGACAAATTGCATGCTATGATTTTTTTCTGATGGTATATTCTCAAGTTAAAGTTGATTTTATGTAATCGAATGAACTATTTTACAAGTAAAGTCGTCCCAGGAACGCAACTCAACAATATTAAAATATTATAAAATAAAATTATATACCTAAAAAATAAATTACAACAATAAAATTAAATTATTAGAAGAATTTTATCACTAAAGTAACAAAAAAAAAAAAACAAAATTTGTTTAATTTACTTATGTTTGTATTTTGAAATAGATTTCCGAAGTGGAAATTGAAACGTCAATAAACGTACTTTATCATTTCATTGTGACTTATTCCATTTAAATAGTAATTACTTTAAAATGTCACAAGAATAGCTTCAGAACAATATGTGAATATATTGGATAAAAGAATTGTGTAATTGGATGTTGTGTATAATTTTGCATGTTTGGAATTACATTTTGGTGCATCAAATTATTTAATCAGCCGCCTGCTCACAACTGCTATCCTGCATTATTGGTTACTAATGCTAATTGATGGATGAGTTTTTTTTTTCTAGTGCATTAGTGCATTAATATACATGCCCCGACCGACGACAAACTAAAAACAGTTTTTCGAACACCTAGAACAAGCCTACAGAAGATGCCCCAGAAATGACATCAAGATAGTGCTAGCTGACATGAATGCAAGAATAGGACGAGAGCGAGTTTTTATGTCGACTACAGGAAGGCATAGCCTACACAACATCAGTAGCGATAATGGATTACGACTGATAAACTTAGCAGTAGCACTGAACATGACCGTCGCTAGCACCTATTTTGAACACAAGAATATACACAAGGTAACCTGGACCTCCCCTGATGGAAGAACAACTAGTTAGATTGCTCACATCTTAATAGATTCAAGACACGGAACGGACATAACGAACTGCAGAAGTTATAGAGGCACAAACATAGATTCAGACCATTGTTTAGTGATCTCAACACTAGGGGCTAGAATTTCAAATCCCAACAAAGAAAAAAAATAGATAGAAAAAAATGGAATGTACAGAACCTGAAATGCAACTGTTGCAAAACAGTACTGGGAAAATATTACCAATATGTTAAGGAATTAAAGTCTAAGCGAAGAAGACTAGAGAGATATAGACTCCTACTGGAACAGGATAAAGGAAGATATTGAGTCAGCAGCACAAGATGAAATAGGAAGAGAAACTTGTACCCGAAAAATCACTCATTTGACGATGAATGCAAAGACGCAACACAAAAAAAAATGAAGCCTATGCAAAAATGCTTACTCGCCGAACTAGAACAAGTATAGAGAATTACCAAACAAAGAGAAGAAAATACACAGAATGAAGAAACGAAACCACTTAAAAAAGAAACTTGAATATATAGAAATCCTCAACAGAGACAAAGAAATCAGAACATTCTATAAGAAAGTTAACATCAATAGAAAAGAATTCAAAGCAAACACAAATCAATGTAGAAGTTTGAATGGCGACCTATTAACAACAAGAACAGACATACTAAATGGCTGGATGGAATATTTTAGCCAGATACTTAATATAGAGGAAGAAGAAGAAAACCCGGAAGACGAAAGCTGTGAGGTAAGCGGAGCAGACGAGAGGGAGGAGAATCCACCAACGATCCTGGAAATTAAAGAAGCTGTAAACAAAGTAGTCAGAAACAAATCACCCGAAATAGATAATTTCCCAGCGGAATTATACAAAGAAGGTGGCCACGATATCATAATAACGCTACAGCAGCTTATAAAAGAAATATGGATACAGAAGTCATTTCAGAGTGATTGCAATACTTTGCAAGCAATTTGCAAATGCAGCGTATAAAATATTCTCCAATATACTATGCCAGCGTATGACACCATATGCAGAGCGAATAATAGGACAATACCAGGCTGGTTTCAGAGGTGATAAATCAACAATTCATCAGATTTCAAACCTGAGACAAATTCTAGAGAAAACACTGGAATACGGTGTAGACATGCACCACATATTTATAGACTACAAGGCAGGGGCGGCTCGTGATAGTACAAGATGGTGAGGCACACTACACTTAAGGAAAATTATTATCATTATGGTTAGCTTCTCTTTGCTCCAGTCATACCCGGCTAAGGAGGCATTGCTCGCGCCAGCAAACAATGACTTGGCGTGAGAAGGACTTCTGACGATACGCGCGCGGATCAACAAAAGTCATCCTCACCTCAAAGCTCTCCTAAGCCCTCCTCCACCCTCCCTTATGTGCACTGAAGGTGCAACATAAGGGCTGACTGCTTTTTGAAAAAGTCCGCGATTAAGCTGTATTTATGAGGACCATGTGTAATAGGGTGCTCATAAATGTAACTTAAATGATACCCAAGGTGTCGTTAAGCGACTTACTCCGGTTTATCATGAAATCTCGTATCGTGAGATAAAAGCGAACGAAAAACGAGGGAGCTCTAATCCTCGAGCCTGCACCTTGGTTAGCGGCCAAGTTGTAGCCTCAAGGATCTAGGTGGCCTCTCCCGTGGCCTTTT